GAGAGAGAGAGAGAGAGAGAGAGAGAGAGAGAGAGAGAGAGAGAGAGGAGGACGGCATGTGTAATTCATACTCATGCCCAAGCTCAAAGCAGCAGCACAGACTTAATTGTTACTGCATGGCTAAGCAATTAGTCACAGTATAAAACGTTACAGCAGGATTCTGACTTGCAGCTATTCTGACGTCTGTGTATTCTTTCTAGTTTAGTTTAGTTTAGTCAGAAGCCCCTTAAGGATGTTAATGAATGTGTGAAATGTCACATTATTAATGTGTAGAGCACATTACAAAAGTCGTATCTCACACCATTATTATATTCAAAGGGAGAGTTTCCCTCTTACATGAAAGAAAGCATGTTGAAGGATCACTTCATATGATTCTTATGTGTTTATAAACATGTTTTAAAAAGTTTGAAAAGTTCCCTAAATCATTGTTTCAGACTGAAATATCAAAATCAAAATCACCTACTTGTGACATGGTGTTTTCTTAAAAGTTAACTCTACAGTGTGCTAGTTTCAGCATGGAGATGTCACTTCACAAGCTGTGGAAGGACCCCTTAAAAGATGTGTTTTACTGGTACCTAATTTCAATTTTATATTCCTTAAGTAATAATATGTCATATGGTTTCAGAATCTCAGAGTCAAAATAATTCTTGTAGTCTACTATATAATATTTATGACTTGAAGAGTAACAATTAAATTTGTTTTGAAAAATAAGAAAACAATATAAAACAAAGAACAAAGTGAACATGGAATTTCAGCATACACAACCTCGAAACAAAACAATCTGTAAACTAAAGGGGAAGAAACATAGCCCCAGTGAATAAATAAAATACGGTAGGAATTATTTACCCAGAATAAATTTTGAATTTTACACTGTTGATAGTAGCAAAGGATACATAGAAGAATTCAATTCTTCTAACTGAAACACAAAGAAACAAATTGAATATTAATTTTTACAAGAGAAATATTAGTAGGTCATTATAAACCATATTTTTCATGTAGGTTTTAACTGAAAGAACAAACTATTAAAGAAAAAAAACTCTCAAAAAGTTTTCTAGGCTAGGAAATCCTTTTTACAAAATAACTGTAAAGTCACTGTAGTTTGACTGTGAAGAGAGAACAGAAGCAAAGGATACAGACTAGGAGCTTTAGAAGTATTCTTAGAATCATGTATAATGCGATAATCTCCACTGTGTGTTTGTTGTTTCTTTTTGAAAGAGAATCTGGATACATACTCAGGCTGGCCTTGAACTCTATAGGATAGAGCCCAGGATAGTCCCAACTCATGATTTTTTTAATTCAGCCTACAGAATGCTATGGTCACCGATATGTGCCTCTATGTTCTTTTAATAGAAATGTCATCCTTACTGTGTGCACTGTGTTGTCTGTCTGTGAAGGCAGCACGCACGTGGAAGACAGAGTATAACCTTGTGGAGTTGGGTCTGTCCTGCTCTCACATGAGCTATAGGAACTGTACTCAGGTCCAAACGTCACCAGGCTTACCCTGAAAGCACTCTTACCTTCTCAGCCATCTTGCTGGACCCATGCCTAGCTTTTAAAGAATAGTTTGTCTTTTGTTTTTTAAAAAACATAAATGCCATTTCCATGATTATAATCTTTAAAATTTTTATTATTTATAAAAATACTTCACAAATCATTCAATTAACACTATAAAATAGAATTGTTCACCCATTGTCTTTGTCTGTTTGGGTTCTTATAACACAGTATCATTAAATTAGTGGTTTGCAGAAAAAAGAAACTCATTTCTCCAGTTCTAGAGACCAGCTGGTCAAGGCAAAGATGCCAAAGGAGCTGGTGTCCGGCTCACAGAACAGCACTCTGCACTGTGTCCTCACAGAATGGAAACAGAGGGGTGTCTCTTTTCAGCCTCTTTTCCTAGGACACTAATCCCTCTCCTGACCTAATCACCTTCCACAGACCCATCTCCTGTTGCCCCACCTTCAGAGTCAGGACTTGGAAGTGCAAGCTCTAGAAGGACATAGACATTCAGACCACAGTACCTTTAATTTTAGGAGGAGAAATACAAAGTAAAGACATGCGCGCTGGGGCTATAGTTTCAATGGTGGAGTGCTTGCCCAGCATCCATGAGGCCCTTGGCTTAATCTCCAGTACCCCAAAACCATTTACAAAGAAAGGATGGTAGGGGGTATGTTAACTAGACGGCTCACTGTTACCAAGTACAACTGATGTAAGCCTTGCACTATACCTCCTGATTTAAAATTTAGTTATTTTCTCAAATGCTCTAAGGGTACACAAATTAAACTTACATCTAAGAAAAATTGAGCATAAGACATGAACTTAATACTTATGAGACCAAATAATGCATGGCAGAGTTGACTCTTTAAAGTACAGGCTTGAAGGGCTTTTTGTTTGTTTTTTGAGATAGGCCTCATATAGCCCAGGCTAGCCTTGAACTCACCTTGTAGGTCAGGCTCACCTTGACCTCCTGTCCCTCCTACATCCACTTCCCAAATGCTGGGAATACAAGACCACACAGCTAATCTTCGAAGCATAAAGTATTTGAAGTGTGGGCAGACAATTGCCTTATATTTACTTTTTCAAAAAAAAAAAAAAGCAAAAGAGAAAAAGAAAAATTGCAGAAACAAGCTCTCCTGTCTCTGGTGAACATGAAGCTAAAAATACATTGGGATCAGTTTTTATTTATTCTCTTTTGTTCTATAAAAATGTCTGTGTATCCATAAGTTGCTGTGTACCTGCACATAAGGAGGCCAGAGGTCACTCTGGGTGTCCTCCTTAACTGTTCTCCACCTTATTTCTTTGAGACAGGATCTCTCTCCAAACCTCAAGCTGACAAATTCAGCAAGAAAGGGCGGCCTGTAATCCTCAGAGATCTTCTTGTCTCTGCTTCTCTAGTGTTGAGATTACAGGCACTGTACACACAGGGCCAAGGATCCGAACTCAGGCCCTCATGCCAGTGTAGCAAGAACTCTACCAACTGAGCCATCTCCCTAGCTCCCTAAGGCTTTAGATATTTATTTTTATTTTATGGGTATGTGTGTTTTGCCCAAATGTAATCATGTGCACCGCATGTGTGCCTGGTGCCCTCCGAGGCCAGAGAGGGCTTCAGATCCCCGGAACTGAAGTTAGAGAGGGTCGAGGGCCGTCAAGTGGGTGCTGGAAACAGAATCTGGGTCTTCTGCAAGAGCAGCAAGTACTTTTAGACGCTGAGTCAGCTTTTCAGCCCCCTAAAAAAAGGTTTTAAAGAGGCAAATTGACAAGATGTTATGGGCTGGTTGGTGCCCCAACTCCATCCCAACTCATAAACTCTAGCTCCCAGTCATAATATGTCAGAATGTTCAGAGCCTTTAAAAGAGGCAACGGAATTAAAATGAAGTCACTGGGGTGGGCCCTAATCCAACATAACCTTAACATGACAAGTTGGACAGATATGCACAAGAGAAAAATTAAATGAGCATTAAGATGACTACCTGGAATGAAGAACTTAGGCAACTTAGCTGAGCTCCCATTCCAGCTCCCAGAATTGTGAGAACTTTCTATTGTTTAAACCTCATGTGTTGCGCTTTGCTATGGTGGCTCTAGCAGACTGAAAGATGTGGCAATATTCTAAACTGCTGTAAAGACCAAACACTGGTCTGGATTTAAAAATAAGTAACCATCTAGGCAGGCAAGCGTCTTTTGACTAGTGGCTTTTGTGTACTTGAGATCTGCAAATACATGAGGTCTCTGTATAATACAGGCACATATGTAAAAATATTCAGAAGTAAGTATTTCCTTTAGAAGTTTACCAGGATTATGATAATATATGCTCCCAATAAACCTAAACTCACACATTTTCTTAGACTGTATTTCTTTAAAGAGAATCAAATACAACAGAGATGAAATGTGAGGATACCACATTAAGTAGGAGACCCTCCCATCCCTACCCTGTGGGCACACACTTTACAATGCCATCTGCAGGAAGTGCCCATGGAGCCCAGCTCTTCAAGAAAGAAAGAAACTGAGGCACGAGCTTCTTTAAGGGATGATGGCATGTTCTACAATTAGGTAGTGGTGACGACTGCAATTTGTATAAACAAATCACTGACAGTTAAAATGTGAACTGTGGTTCGTGTGTGTTGTTTCATGAAGGCGTTTCTTTAATGATAGATGGAACACCCTACTCACGTCAGACAGAAGCCTGTCCAGGTTTGCATCACTGGCTGCTTTCCGCTTTTCCTCAGGAAGTTCCTCTAACTCCCCGTAGAGCTCCAAGTTCAAGCGAGCTAATTTCTCCTGCATTCCCCGAACATGTTCCATCTGTTCTATGGAACATTCATTTCCTGGGGAACATTCCAGAACATTAAAAAAGATTAGTGTTGAAGCCTATAACCTCAAGGAACAGCTTTTAAACTCCAGGTGCACAAAAGAAATCCATTTTCTTTGTTTAGAAATTGGCTTGTTAATAATAACTATTTTCTGTGTATAATTATAATTCTTTTTATTTATCTTTTGACTTCTTTTTTTTTTGAGACAAGGTATGAAAGCTAGTTCAAATTCATAATCTTCCTATCTTGGCCTTTTGACTCTTGAGAGCAGATACAATTTTTGGCCAGGAAAAAAATGACCAATCTGAAAAATGATCCTGGGCCCTAAAATAAAGTTGTGCATAAAAACCTTTTTTTAAGCAAAATAATTTCTCTAGAAAGGAAGATGTACTTTTTCTTTCACAATAATATTGTATACAGGAGCAATAGCACCATAATTATGTCCATTTTGACAACTGCCCACTGAACTGAGAAAGCCAACATTCTGTAGTATTCTGAGTAAAGTGTAGAATTCTCTAAGAATTTCAACCACAGATTATTTTTCCAACCAATTATAAATTCTTCCTTTAGGAAATATAAATGCAAATATTTATGAAGCACGATGTATTACATTACACAGTGTAATATTTTCAATAATATACATGGTAATACAAGGCAACTTCACTAAGGCACAAGTCCCATTATTTCTTGACTTAGGTCCAGTGTGGTGAGATTTTATCTGCCCAAACAACTAAAGTACATATATATACATAACATAGTCTACACCTTCATCTAGTTCAAGTACAGCCTCTACAACCTCTTGGTATTCCAATTAAAAAACAAAACAAAACAAAACAAAACAAACTTTTCCTTTTTTTTTCTAAATATATTGCAAAAATATACTATTAATTAAGCTAAAGCTGAAATGCATCCAGGTGTGTCATAAATGTGTGTATCAGCATCTTCGATCATGAAGAGGCGTATATTCATGTGAGGAGAGGAAGGGGAGGGGGGAGAAGAAAGTGTGGAAGGAGAGGAAAGAGAGGGAGGGAAGGAATGAATGAAAACATGAATGAATACAGAGATGTAGACCTCACAAAGGGAAGTTGAGAGGAAGACATACCTAGGGGACCAGCCATGCTTCATAACACAAAAAGAACATGTGTAGGAGGAAGGATGAGTTAGCAGCTTAAAAAGGGCTTAGTAATTCCCTGATGAGAAAAGTCTTACTATAAATGCCCACACCTTACAGGTGAAGTGACAGTGTGGACTCACGGGCATTAAGATGGGGAAAAAATAATGACCTAGTAAGAAAGAGACAGCCTAGCAATGGACTATTCATGGCATCCCTTACAGCCAGGGCTCAGTGACTGCACACACAGCAGAGGAAGGGCTTCAATCAAACAAACCCTCTGACCTTCAGGGAAGAGAACTGCCACTACAAAGAGTGAGCAGGGCAGAAGGGAAGAAGTGGAGTATTCTGGGATACCATGTTATTGGTGTTGGGTGGAGCCTGAGGAGGGAGAACATTTTCTGTGAAAAAAGTAATACACCATTTTTGGAGTCGGGGGCTCCTATATAATCCAACCTGGTCTAGAATTCATGATTCTCCTGCCTTAGCCTCCTCATTACCAGGATTCCAGGCCTGAGTCTGGCTTCTTTGTCAAACATAAGTATTACTATGGACTAAAGACTCAGAAACCATGAAAGAAGAAAGATGTAAGTATACAAAACCCAACAATCCCACAGGATTAAATGTATTAATACAAAATCAACAGACATAAATGTATTTGGAAAAATAAGTTATGAAAATGTATTGTTTCCATGTAAATCATGCAAAGGGCTATTAACAATGTAAGAAATTACCAAACTAAAAACTATGTAAAGGCTCTGAAGACAGCAATCAACTACGTAACAAGTAGACATGGCATTTAAGTTTGATGATCATTTTAAAATTTTCACTTGACTGGCAAAAATTGAAAGAATGCCTACTGCTGGTAGGACCTCAAAGAAAAGTGTTCTTTCATAAACTTCCAATAAAAGAAGAAACTTTTTTTTTTTTTTAAAGAATCCTAAATATTTCTACTAAAAATAAAACTAGAGCTGGGTGAAGTGACTCACTCCTCTAGTTCAGTGATTGGAATGTGGAGCCAGGAGATCAGGAATCCAGGAGCAGCCTCTGCTATGTAATGAGTTCGAAGCCTACAATACATGAGGCCCCACCTCAAAGAACCAAGCAAATGGGCTGAGAATGTAACTCAGTTGGCAGAACACTTGTCTAGCAGTGACAAAGACAAGAGTTCCGTCCCCATCCCCATATAAACAGGGTGTCATGGCATGTGCCTGTAATCTTAGCAGGTGGAGGCTGGTGGCAACAGGAAAATAAGAAGTTCAAGGTCATCCTCAACTACTCAGTGGGTATGAAGCCAGCCTGAGATACACTTGCCTCAAAATGGGAAAAATTCCTAGTGCATAGAAAACTAAGGCTTAGGATCATGAACCCTAGGATAGCCAGGCTATATATGTAGAAGACCCTGTTTCAAAAATGCAAAAGCAAAGACTATACTTTCAAGGACTGAATTGTCTATTGTCCTGTATAGACAGAAATGTCTATAGTTCATTTAAAAGACAAAAGGAAATTGAAAAACTAAACTCTAAATTCATTTGAATGATAAATACTTCCCTTATTATTTTAAATAGATAAATTATACAATATGGTTTTATTTTTCAGAAGTGGATTAGGCTGCCTTCTAAAGAACAAAGGGGCAGAAAAGATCATACATAGGGGCATAGAACCTAATTTAAGTATGTCAGTATGGTTATTCCATAACACCAATCCTACTTTAACATTACAGCTAACCATCCCTTGTGAATGTGTGCACATACGTGTGTGGTATCATGTAGGATACAGGAACATACTTGTGCATGCTAGCATGCCGAAGCCAGCGGATGACATCAGGGTTTCTGTCCCATCACTCTCTACCTCATCCCTTTAGGGTGGGGTCTTTCAGTGAACCAGGACCAAGGATGACAGCCAACAAGCCCCAGAAAGCTGCTTCCCATATCTCTGAGCTTACAGGCAGGTCCACGCCCATGGCCAGCTTTTGACACAGCTGCTGGAATACAAGCGCAGATCCTCATGGCTGTGTAGCAAACTGTCTTATGCACTAAAGCCATGTCTCTGGCCCTAAAAACTCCCTTTAAAAAATCCTCCCTCATTAATTATATTCCATCACAGTAAAATCTAAAATTCTTACATTTTATGTTTATATATCGTATGCCTACCTTTCTCCCTCTCACCCAGCACTCTTGAGTGTGTACTTTTTTTTGTTCTTTTTGGTTTTTTGTTGTCCTTTTTGAGGCAGGTTTTGTGTAGCCCAGGATGCCTCCAAAGTCATTATGTAGTAGACAATGTCTCTGAACTTCCTGGACCTTCCAAGTGGTAGGATTAGAGGTGTATACTACCATGCCTGGCTTTTATGCAGTGTTGGGTGTTAAACCAAGGATTTTGTAAGTACTAGGCAATCTACCAACTACAGCAAAGGTACATACCCAGTCCTCCCTGTTCTACTTGTTCTGCGGCAGTCTAGTGTAGAGCAGAATGCCCTCAATCTCGCTTGTAGCTCAGGATAGATTAGAACTTCTCATCTTTCCGCCTCTACTTTCCAGATACTGGGATTACAGGCGTGAGTCACCACGTCCAGCTTCCCTTTGCTTTTTACTAAAAGAAAGTAATACGTGGAAAGACCCTTTCTCAAACAACAAGGTGAGTGGTGCTGAGGAATGCACCAAGGTTGTCCTTTGGCTTTCATGTGCACACACAAGGACATAGACAACTAACGGCAGGATGAACCATATGCAGAAGGTAGCATGCCGAGCAGTGAGGAACACGTGGCTGTCTTACCAAATGCCTGCAGCTTTCCAGAGTGGAAATCGTTCAGCAGGCTAAGGAGCCCGCGCTCCATCTCCTGGACATCAGAGACGTCGGTGAGGAAGGAGTGCTGGATGGGTGTGGACTGAGCACCCTTCCCTTCTCCTCCTGGAGGTTTGTTCTTTTCTTTCATCACCCTGCAGAGGTGATGCAATTAGCCTTAGTTAGATCTCTCAGGTTCCTCTGGATTAGACTCCTGTTTAACTGGTCAGATAAATAAATGAACTTTTTTTAAAAAAAAATAAGAAATCAGAGGAAGTCAATACTAAACAAAACCTGAAACCTCAAGCCAGCAACAAACAAAAACAGGTGGTGAAAAAAATTTCACCTATATACAGTGTAGAAACATAAAGATGTTAGTAAGTTTGTGCAATATGCTAATCTGTTAGGCTGAAAAGATATTGAAAAGAAAATTGATAAGTCTTTCTGGTATCCTATTTTGTATTTTTCACTTCGAAGTAAAATGTAGCATACACTCTCCTTTCTAAATGCCAGCCTTGAACTGTTTATAGTTGGGTGAGATTTTTTTGGGTTCCTGCTCTGAAGACAGCACCCTAGGAGTGCTTGGTCTTAGGAGAAAGACATTTAAAATCCATAATCAAGAACTTAACATCCCTAATTCTGCCATGGTCCTCAGGTCCCCTCATGCAGTTTTGAAGCTGACTGATACAATCTAACTTCTTGGCTCTTGCCATCATCCTGTCTCTTGACCATCATCTTCCAACACCTTCCTAGTTGGCCCACCTGGTCCTGTGTATGGTCCCTGGTCCCCTTTTCCTCTCCATAAGGCAGACAAGTCTATTTCTAAACAATGCCAGGTCACATCATTTAAGCCTTCAAGAGCTAAGGACTGCCTAAATCCAATACCCTTAAGAAACCCTAGTTTCCTTGGATGTGATTGTTCAAACCTTTAATCCTGATACAGAGGAGGCAAAGATAGGTAGATGAACAGCCTGATCTACATAACATATCTAAGGACAGTGAGGGCTACAAAGTGAGACCCTGTTTCAAATTAAACAAACACAAACTAGTCCCTAATCTCATTAGCCTCCTGGAAGTACATTTTCTGTCTTCTCATCTGAGTCCTGCGCCTACATCTAGATCCTTCACTTCCTGCAATCTTTGTCAGGCCACTGCTCAAAAACCTTCAGGTCTCAGTTGAGCTGCTATTTCCCCAGAAGGGCATTTGGGACCCTTTGCTTGATTCTTATCACACACCTCTGCATATACCAGGCTCTCAAACACTAGAGAGATGATGCCATGCAAATTCACAGTATTATGTAAAAACAGAGAGAGGATGCAGCACAGAGTCAGCTAGGCTTCGAAAGGTGCTATCCAAGTAAGAGTTTAAAAAGCAAAAGGGATTGGCATTCTCTTTAACTAGTACTATAGAAGATTCGGTAGTCTATCTACTTAGAACCATACTCAGTTTTCATACAACAATGAATAAAGACCCCATCCCTACAACCATACACAAGGATAGGTAAATAGGGCAGGCATATCTGTATGTGCACCTTTTCGTGAGGGTCTGGGAGTGAAAGCCCATGGATGGGTTGGGGTAAAGAAAGAAACTTAACAACTCTTAAGAAATCTAGACTTCAGGCTGCATAGAAGTTTCAGTGGTTAAGAGCACTAGCTGTTCTTTTAGAGGACTCAAGGTCAATTTGCAGCATCCACATGACAGCTCAAAACTGTAACTCTAGTTCCAAGGGATTCAATACCCTCTTCTGACCTTCACAGACATGAGGCACGTACAAACACATACGAGGGCAAACATCCACACAAATAAAATTTGAAAAAAAAAAAAATGGAACTTGAGGTGGTGCACAGCTTTAATCTGAGCACCCTGGAGGCAGAGGAAGGGAAATCCTTCTATGTTCAAGACCAGTGCTAGCCTAGTCTATATAGTGGGTTCCAGGCAAGCCAATGTACCACAGTAAGATGCTGTCTCAGTACAAAACAAAACAAACTAAAAAACAAATAAAAGAAATATAGAACTCACAGCCAGTCAATAACAGTTCTTCACAAGAAGAGGCCTGCATAGTGTGTGTGCGTGTGCGTGTTACATGGTGCATGCAAGTACATGTTGTATGCACGTGTGTGTATGCATACATGTGTGGAGGCTGGAAGTTAATATCAGGTAAGTTCCTTTGTTGTTCTTTACCATATTTTTTGAGATAGCGTCTCTCACATCTAACCTGGAGCTTGCCATATTGGTTAGATTCCCTGAGCCACAAGCCCCTGGGAGTCTCTATCTCCATATTGTTGGTGCTGGAGGTCCAGATGTGCACTGCCACACCTTGATCTTACATGGGTGCTAGGGGATCCAAACTCAGGTCCTCATGTTTGTCTAGTGGAGCACTTTATCTACTGAGCAGTCATCCCAGCCCCAAGGCCTGAATTTTTCTTAAAGGCATTTTATATGGAATTAAATCACATCAGTCAGTATGTCTTACTGTGATAGAGAACATGACCAAAAGCAACCTTTTGAGGAAAGGGTTTAATTGACTTACAGTTTATAGTCCACCATGAAGGGAAGTCAGGGCAGAAAATTCAAGGCAGAATCCTGGAGGCAAGAACTAAAGCAAGTCCATGGAGGGACTCTGTTCCCTGACTTGCTCAACCTCCTTTCTTATACAACCCAGAACTACCTCCTCAAGGGTGTCTGTAGTAGGCTGGGTCCTCCCACATCAATCACTAATCAAGAAAACATTCCACAGAATTGCGTACAGGCCAATCTGATGAAGGCATTTTTCTATTTGAAGAGCTGGCTTCCCAGGTGGCCCTGGCCTTCATCAAGGTGACAAGAAATATCACAAGTGCTGCCCATTACCTCACCTGTGATCTTGTAACAAATGGTCATGTGAAGACCCTTTCCTGCAGACTCAGTATGAACATTTTAAGATGATCCCCACAATATCCATACTCTAAAGTGGAGAAAATCGTTATGGTTTTTAAAGTTTTGGTGTAGCAAATGCATTTTTCTTCTTCCAAATTTGGAAGTTCTCATCTACCAGATAACTTCACCATTAACAGCTCCCAAAAAAAAAAAAAACAGTTATAAATGGTAAAACTCTATTTCCTAAAATTTGTTTCCTTTATGCACGTGTGTGCATGAGAATGTGTACGGCCATGTGTATGATAGTGCCTGACAGTATGCACGCATGTGGAGGTCAGAGGACATTCTTAGATCTCATTCCCAGAAGCACGTTACTCAAGATAGGGAGTCTCATTGGCTTTGATCTCATCAATTAAACTAGACTGTCTGGCCAGCAAGCCCCAGGAATCCTCTTGTCTTCCCAAGGGCTAGGATTACAGGAATGGGCTACCACCTAGGAATTTTTATATGGGTTCTAGGGATAAAACTCAAGCCCTTGGGTTTGTAAGACCAGAGTTTTACCAACTGAGCTATCTTTCCAGGCTTGAAAATGCTTTTCTGAATTTTTATTCAAATGAAACAATTCTAATAACTGTTACTTTAAATGTCAAAACATGTGCCAAAGCTGTAGCTCAGAGGTAGAGCATAGTGTGTGTGAGGACCCAGGTTCAATCCCCAGCACTAGAAAAAAAGTCAAATCACGAGAGACAAAAAGGCCGAACAAAGAAGGTTTTTAATAGCACTTTACCCTGAAAATGTCAAAGAAAATAACTCACCTTTTTAACTTTGGCCTCTGGGAAGTTGACTGCGATGTGGGATTTGAAAATCCTGTGCTTTTACTAGCTGGGATGGCATTTTTTTTGGCATTAACAACCTGAGTAGAGTGGGCACTGAAAGACTTGGGGCTCTTCCTCTTTGCTTTCCGTTCTTCCATTGTCTTAAATTCTTCCTTGCATCAATACCAGCTTCATAAGACCTAAATATAAAAATACAGTGAGTACAGATATATGCTATAAAGATGTAAAGTGAGAGTCAAAGGTACATTCCACAGACCAAACGAACAGGAATTGGAGTCATTATGCCCAATCTACTTTGCTAATGTACATAAACAACTGTCTGATAACTTAAAAAAGATTTATTTATTTACTTTATGTATGTGAGTCACTCTCTTCAGACAGACCTGAAGAAGGCATCAGATCCCATTACAGATGGTTGTGAGCCACTGTGTGGTTGCTGGAAATTGAACTCAGGACCTCTGGAAGAACAGCTAGAGCTCTTAACCACTGAGCCATCTCTCCAGCCCTGTCTAATAATTTTTAAAAGCATTTTCTCTATTCACACATCTTCTAAGTATCTACTGTCTCTCTTCCACAAGCCAGGCACTGTCCTCAGTCCTGGGAAAGCAGAAATGAGTGAGATAAAGCCCTTAACCTCTAAGTGAGCAATATAAATAAATCACCCATGTAACAGCCCAACCTTGCTGGAGCTTTAGTTGGCCTTTAAATCTCCCTTCTAAACCAGATTCAAACACGTGTACATCAGGGTATCAGTAGTCTAAGCTGCACCTTGAAGGTTTATGTAAGATACATTTTATTGGTATACTATGCACCACCACTCCCATATCTTTCTTTCTTTTCTTCCTTCCTTTCTTTCTTGACAAGGTGTCACTATGTACCTTTGGCTGACATGGATGTTGCTCTGTAGACTTGGCTGGCCTGGAACTCACAAAGACTCACCTGCCTTTGTCTCCTGCATGATTAAAAGCATAAATCCCTCCTGGGATGAAAAGCATCAAAAGTGTGCATCACTTCACCTTTTCTTTTTGAAACACAGTTTTTCTCTCTGTCCTTGGCTGGCTGAGAAATTACTATGTGAGCCATGCTGGCCTCCAATGATGATACTTCTCCCTCTGCTCTTAAGTCTGGGATGATGGGCATGAGCCACAAGATTAGATTTGATTTTTTTCTTAATTCTATTATTAACTTATCACAAAAAGGTATCAGAAAAAATGCATACCTATTCCTCCCTTCAAATTGTTAACTGCATCCTGAATATCAGGTCTTTTAAACAATACTGTGGGGCTGAAGAGATGGCTCTGCAGCTAAGAGCACTGGCTACTCTTTTTAGAGGTCTGTTTTGATTTCAAACTCCAACAAGGCTGCTTACAACAGTAACTTCTGTCCCAGGGTGTCCAGTGCCCTCTTCTGGCCTCCAAGGGCACAGTATGCACCAGTGCACAGTCGTCTAATAAAATTTAAAAATTTAAAGTGTTGAATTTAGTCCTGCCATGACTATTTTGAAATGGACTACTGTCCTGAAAGAATTAGTTGGGAATTATAAAGATAATGTCGGGTTTTTGTTTTGTTAGCTTCTACTGTAGGCTTTTCTTGGAAAAGAGTATGACGTTCTGTCTCTAATCTCAGATACCAACAGTGAATCCACTTGAGTCATTTGGGAATTGTTTAGATGTAATACAGATTAAATAAAACTTTAGAGATGACTGAATAGGTTTCCAAGAGATGAGGATCTGTATACTTGATGATACACATAAGCACACTAACCTTTAAATCTATAGATGCTAATACACATTTGGTAACAAAACGGAAAAAAAGCAAAACCAGCATCGTCAATAAACCAATGGTCTCTGAAGGAGCAAGCTTTCGATTTTCTCTTTCCTGGAAGATAACATCTGTCACAAGACCATGAAATCCTTTCTGTATGATGAGGGACCTTTCCAGAGAGGACGAACTGCTCACAGTTGAAAGTCAGGCCTTGCTTCCAACTAGAATCACCGAAGGTGCCTATGGACTTCACCTCATTTCCTTCCGCCACCCAGCCCAGCGATGAACCATCTATACCCAGCAGCGACCAGAGCAGACGCTGAGGGGCTCGAAGGAGCAGGTTGCGGGGTCCCCACATCCCATTACATACCCGAGGAAGAAAGGGCTGTGGCTACCCTTCTTCAGCTGGAAAAGGTCAGAGTGCGTTCAAAGCCTCTGCTAAGCCTGTAGCGAGACCGCAGGTCATCAGCCTGGATCACAAACCCAGGGCAAGCGCCCTTTGTTTACGGAAGTGATGTAATCGGGGCGGGTCCCTCTGTAAGGCGCAAAGCCCCGCCTCTTCCAGGTCCCTTAGCGGTGGTCGATTCTCTGCTTTGGGCTCCGAACTCCCATAGCCGCCTTCAGGTATGGCTCTAGAGACCGCTGGAAAGAAGAGTTGTGTTGGCCACTCCAATTCTGCCTCTGCAATGGCCTTATGGATTGTCCTCACCGGAAGTGGCAAGCCACCTCGGTGAAGGACCGCCCCCATGCACTGCAATTCCCAGCATGCCTTTCGAACAAATCTGAAGGCGGAGCCTATTGTCACCCTCGCAGCAGATCCATGTCTCGGATTGGCTGCCTTTAGTGTGGCTTTTAAAAGCGGAGTTCGGTTCAGCTACTCTGATGCTGTGTGATTCTGTAAATAGCCAGTGTCCAAACATTGCATTTGAGGAGGAGTGGGGAGGGGGAATTCGTTTAGGTTTTATGTGTGCCTATCAGTCTGTCTTCGTTTTCTTTTCTTTTTTCTTTTTTTGACAGAGTCTCGTATAGACCGCACTGCTCAGGAGCTGGTTGTGTTATTGAGATCTTCCTGCCTGCGCTTCCTGCCTATGCTGGAATTACAGGTATGTGCCACCCGTCCCTCTTTACCTCACGACAGTCTTTTAAGGTAACATCATAATCCCCGTCTTAGAAATGAATCTGAGATTCAGAAAAGCTAATCAATCTTGTTGTCTGACTCCCCACTTCATCTCTGGGAGAAGGAGTTGAGGGTTGAGAGAGAAGGCCCAATCCTCAACTTAAAGAAAACTTTTCTTTCCTTGGTGTGGATGGCCTTCTTAGAGTGGAGATAGGAAATTTTAGATTCCGAGCCTCTTAGATTGAAGCAGCTCTGTCCTTCAATCTCCCTATTACCTAGGAAGGGAATTGTGTCTAGAGATTATGCCAGTGGAGTTACTAAGTACCTAAGTACTATGAGATGTTCTTCCATTAGGAAAACCAAAACCAAAACCTGGAATTCTTTTTAAACACACACACACACACACACACACACACACACACAGACAAAGCATTATGGTCCCAGTTTCCAAAGTGGACACGTTATATTTCATAATTTGCTATTTCTAGGTTAAAGAACCTAGAACTTAAGAAAAGGCAGAATCTCCTGTTCTCATCCCCTTTGGTTATCTCACTTCCTACAGACCACTAGGGTCACTAGGAAATGGAGCTTGCTAATTTAGGTGTCTATACTTAAACTGTTATTATGTAACATAAATAATATATCAAGTGGCTTTTGGAATCTCTGAATGGTATTGTATTTTGTAAATTGAACCACAGCTTGGTTTTTACACATCCCCCCTACACCCCACACCCCACTTCCGATCTGTCTGTATTGGTAGGCACTGCTGCACAACGTTTGTTTTAATGCTGTGGTACTACAAGCTGTTTGAAATTCCTATAGTGGTGACTGTTGAAGTTTTCCCCATTATCACAGTTACAAGCCATGAATATAGATACAATCCTCTCATCTTTCTCAGGGTCTCTGATTGTCGTATTTGTATGAGCAGCCTTGCCAAAAGATGGTTCATGTGCCTTTATTGTTAACAGTTAGGGTCAAAAGAAGAAAGAAATTGATCATTGGCAGTCTGTGAATAAATAGAAAGGTACGTAGGCTGCCCTTGAAGCCACAGCATCTGAAGGAGTTGACCAAGTCACAAAACTGACCAGATGACATCACCAGTGCCCAGGCAGATGCTGTTTTCTCAGCACACCAATTGGGGCTTTGCTATTCCAGCCTTCCTCTAAGAGGTCTGATGAGGAATCTGATTACCCAACCTTTGGATGTTCTGATGACTTCTCGTTAAACAAACTAAAAGCTTATTTTCCGTAGGTTCTACAATGCTAATGTTTTAATTTTTAAAAAAGATTTATTTACTTTTTACTTATATAAATACACTGCAGCTGTCTTCAGATACACACTAAAGGAGTGCATTGGATTCTGTTACAGATGGTTACATGAGCCACCATGTGATTGCTGGGAATTGAATTCAGGACCTCTGGAAGAATAGTTAGTGCTCTTAACCACTGAGCCATCTCTCCATCCCATTTTAATTTATTTTTTTGTATTTCACATCTACACTTTCCTTTTAAAGGTAAAGTATTTTCCAAGTTTAGGAGGTAGGAGACTGTACTGGCTGGTTTTGTATGTCAACTTGACACAAGCTGGAGTTATCACAGAGAAAAGAGCCTCCCTTGAGGAAATGCCTCTACGAGATCCAGCTGTAAGACATTTTCTCAATTAGTGATCAAGGAGGGTAAGGCCTAGCCCATTGTGGGTGGTGCCATCCCTGGGCTAATAGTCCTGGGTTCTATAAGAAAACAAGCTGAGCAAGCCAGGGAAAGCACCCCTTCATGGCCTCTGCATCTGCTCCTGCCTCCTAGTTTCTGTCCTGTGTGAGTTCCTGTCTTGAATTCCTTTGGTGATGAACAGCAATGTGGAAGTGTAAGCTGAATAAACCCTTTCTTCCCCAACTTGCTTCTTGGTCATGATGTGTGCAGGAATAGAAACCCCGACTAAGACAGTGACAGAAAGGACTGAGGTTGTTTTGATCCTTGGAGAATCTTTCCCAAGCTCCTGTAGCCAGAGCAGCTTTAAAAGGATTAACCAGAAAACAAAGCAGACCATGGGTCATTAATTGGCTACACTGTATTACAACCTTTCCTTTCCTAAACTTGGTATTACCATATACTACAAGGATGCTAAAAACACGTGGCTTATAAAGAAGCAAAAAATAGAAGGAAGGATATCTTATCTATAGCTTTGAAATATATCATGGCCACAGCCTATAAACCACACTAATAAACCCCCATACATTTTTGTATATGTGTGTGAGATATATGCTGACATGCAATGTGTGTGTTTTCATCCCATCAGTTGTTCCTTTAGAGAACCCTGACTAATAGGAAGGGAAAGGGAGGAAAGGAAAGAAAAGGAAAATGGGAAGTAAAAGAATAACCTTGTTGTTGGGTGTGGTAGCACACACTAATCCCAGCACTCAAGGGGCAGAGGCAGGTGGATCTCTGAATATGAGGGTTTGAGGACAGCCTGGTCTACAAAGCAAGTCCAGGACAGCCAAGGCAGTGTTATATAGAGAAACCCTGTCTTGAAAAAACAAACAAAAGAATGACCCCGTTTATACCTGTTAGGAGGTTTTTAAAATCCAAACTACTGTCTCCAACTTGATTTTGTTGCTTAATTTCTGTCATCGAGTGTCTGGCTATTTATTTGTCAACTTGATACAAGCTAGTAATCTGGAAGAGGGAACCTCAATGGAGAAATTGCCTCCATCAGTTTGGCCCGTATGCAAGTCTGTGGGACACTTTCTTGATTAATTATTGAGGTGGGAAGGTCCAGCCAGCCCACTGTAGCTGCTAGGCAGATGGTTGTTGGTTGTTTTAAAAAAAAGAAAGCAAGCTGAGTGAGATAGAGGCCCAGCCCATAAACATGGTTTCTCCACAGCCTCTGCTTCACTTCTTGCCCCCAGTTTTCTGCCCTGACTTCTCTCAGTGATGGACCATGACTGGGATGTGTAAGCTAAATCAACTTGTTTCTCCTCAAGTTGCTTTTGGTCAGTGTTTTACTACAGCAGTAGAAAGCAAGCTAGCACATTGGAGAAATCAACCTTTCTGCAGAGGCAAGAGAAGGTAGATGGCCTACTGTATGCTCATAATTAGTGAGGACAACTGGTTATGTGCAGGTGTACTGGAGGCTGAGTTTGGAGATGAGAAATTGAGAAAGCTGACTTGCTCTGTGATAAAGGGGAAGGAAAGTCATTGGTGGGGCATTGCAGGGAGGCACTTCAGTGCTTGTTACTAAAGGCTAAAAGAGAGGCAGGAAAAAGGACAGCTGGAATGGTAGGAAGAACCACTTTGCTGATGGCATCTATGCACACCTTTAGTCCCAGACTTGGGAGCAGAGTAGGGAGATCTCTGCGTTTGAGGCCATCCTGGTCTTATATAGACTATATGTGAGTCCAGGACAGGCAAGGCTACATAAAGGAACCCTGTCTCAAAAACAAAAATGAAATGAAAAGCAATGGTGGTTAACATGAGGAACCTCAGAAATGTAGTTCAGCCTGAGCTGGTTAGCCTATGCTATAGAGTAAGATGCTATCTCTAAACTAAGCCAATCTAAAAATAAGAACAATCAGTTATTTAATCTGTAATCATAACTATAGCTTGCTGTATATATGTGCATGCACACATGCATGTAGTGTATATACCATTTTCCCACACAGCAAGAGTAATTCCTGATAGGCTCAAAGCTCCCTGGAAGAATTAACTACATAAGTCTAGGGAAAAGAGCTGGACTCAACAACTGTGCGGTCTGAGGAACAAGAGGGGAATATGTGTCAATTAGGTAGTCTACACACTGAATAGCATCACAGGAGACAGGATATCCATAGTGAATGGGAAAATATAAACCATCTCACTCTTTCTACCATATGAAGGTAGGTTTTCTACCATATAAAGGTAGGTTTTAATTTTCTTTTTTTTTTTATAGACAGTCTTGCTATGTAGATTTAGTAGTTAAATATGTAGAACACGATGGCCTTCAACTCGAGGTTAATCTCCTGCCTCTGCCTCTTGAGTCCTGAGGATTACAAGTGTGCCACCCTGCCCATCCTGTGATTTAGATTCAACTGTGCATTTGAATTCTCTGAGGTGAAGGGGAGAGTATAATGTGGGCAGGTTGTAAGTCAGGACTGGGAGGAGAGGAGGGGCTTTGATCGGGATGTAAAGTAAATAAAAAAAATTATTGAAATAAAAGAATTAGGGAGAAAAGGCAGCAATATGTTAAGAAATGTTAGGTTTCTGGGATTATACCTGCCTCTTTCTCACTAAACTCGCAGTTCCTTAAAGAAGGATCTGGGTCTTACTGTCTTTATATTCATCAATGCCAGCATAGTGTCCGAAGCATAGTAAAAGCTAAGAGAGAAAGTTTAGTCAATATGAACCAACTAGGGAAAATTAAGCTCCCAAACTCCAAGTAGAAAGGTGTGGTAGTCAAAGCAGGTATTCCTGTAACTTCATTTTCAGTTAGAAAGCATGTTGGGCTTGTGATCTCCAGGTGGTAGTATT